GCCGATCTATTAGGAAGAATAACTATTCGATGCTTCTTCCGTTTCGATGCTTTCGCCGAGAATCGTTGCGGAGAGCGGCCGCTTCTTCTTCTTCTTCTTCTTTTTTTTTTTCTTTGAGCGTATGGGTTTTTTGCCAAGTTATCCCTTGGAATTGAACACGTGATTGATTTTGCTACGCGTTTGTTATGCTACGAAATAGAGAATATTCTCTGTTCGTAGAATAGAGCAGGCACGTGGTTCAAATTTTTTCTTCTCCAATTAACACGTTGACTGTCACGTTGTATTAAATGTACTCCATTACTTCTACCGATATTTTAGTAATGTCTGATGGTCGCAAGAATCATGTCTCGCATCATTTGTTTCCATCATTACTATTCGCGTCCACAATAGAAGATCAATTATTATTGATAATAATAATTGTATTGACAAGTAGTACTGATTTATATAGTATATTTTGAATATTTTAATTTGGATAGTTTGGATAATATGACTGTCGAATGCCATTCGACTAATCGTAACAAGTCTGCTTCTTAGATTATTATATAAAAATTTATTATATTATTATATTATAAATTATTATAGGGTGAGCAGATAATCATGTCCAATGGTCAGAGCACGATATGTTCATAAACTATCTAATTGTCGTATCACCATGATCCGCAATAAAAGTATTGATAATAATAATTGTATCGATAATAGTATTGAATAGTAGTACTGATTTATATAGTATATTTTGGATATTTTAATTTGGATAGTTTGGATAATATGACTGTCGAATGCTCTTCGATTAAACAAGTGTACTTCTTAGATTATTATATAAAAATTTATTATATTATTATATTATAAATTATTATAGGGTGAGCAGATAATCATGTCCAATGGTCAGAGCACGATATGTTCATAAATCTAATTGTCGTATCACCATAATCTGCAATAGAAGTATTGGTAATAATAATTGTATCGACAATTGATTTATATAGTATATTTTGGATATTTTAATTTGGATAATTTGGATAATATGACTGTCGAATGCTCTTCGACTAATCGTAACAAGTCTGCTTCTTAGATTATTATATAAAAATTTATTATATTATTATATTATAAATTATTATAGGGTGAGCAGATAATCATGTCCAATGGTCAGAGAAGTATTGGTAATAGTAATTGTATCGACAATTGATTTATATAGTATATTTTGGATATTTTAATTTGGATAATTTGATAATATTGATAATAATAATAATAATTGTATCGACAATAGTATTGAATAGTAGTACTGATTTATATAGTATATTTTGGATATTTTAATTTGGATAGTTTGGATAATATGACTGTCGAATGCTCTTCGACTAATCGTAACAAGTCTGCTTCTTAGATTATTATATAAAAATTTATTATATTATTATATTATAAATTATTATAGGGTGAGCAGATAATCATGTCCAATGGTCAGAGCACGATATGTTCATAAACTATCTAATTGTCGTATCACCATGATCCGCAATAAAAGTATTGATAATAATAATTGTATCGATAATAGTATTGAATAGTAGTACTGATTTATATAGTATATTTTGGATATTTTAATTTGGATAGTTTGGATAATATGACTGTCGAATGCTCTTCGATTAAACAAGTGTACTTCTTAGATTATTATATAAAAATTTATTATATTATTATATTATAAATTATTATAGGGTGAGCAGATAATCATGTCCAATGGTCAGAGAAGTATTGGTAATAGTAATTGTATCGACAATTGATTTATATAGTATATTTTGGATATTTTAATTTGGATAATTTGGATTATAATTTAGATAATGTTCTTTAAACTAACAAATATACTTCTTAGTTTAGAATTGTATATAAATTATTCGTGTGGCTTGTCTATTAGAGTCACAATAGGTAATCGTGTCCGATGGTCAGAGCACGATATGTTCATAAACTATCTACTCACCATGAGATTCGTGACACCTCAAAATTGGAAGATTTAGAGAATTATTAGCCGCAAAATTATCTGAATAATACAACGAAACTTTGTCAACATAATATCGCAAATTGTGTTATTCAGATAAACACAATAGATAAAAGATGATGATCAATCAATCAAACGCAGGAATTTAAAAAAGACAACAACTTTTTGTCCAATTTATCCGGATCCTTTGTATAGAACCTCAGCTTTGTATAGAATGTTTTAAAATGTTTTACATTCAAAATTATTTTTTTATTATTTTTATAACAATTTAATAATTTTATTACATCCTACAAAATATCTTTCCAAACACCTACGAAAATCATTCATAAGTAGTCAAATATGGGTGACAGTCAACGTGTTAATTAAATAATAAACATACAGATTTTTGGATGAAGAGATTACGATACGATTATTCTCGAAATCAGTTTTAAATTTCGAGGAAGAAGTTTATATTCTGCGTAAATAGATTCTCCTCTCTCTCTCTCTCTCTCTCTCTCTCTCTCTCTCTCTCTCTCGTATGGAAAGTAATAACGGGAAATTTCACGAGAGTCGTAAAGATAGCCGATTCGTTCTTCCATGGAGCGGTGTTACGGCCGTTGTGTCAACGGCAATTTACATGTCCCGGCGTTCTTGGTCGATGCACGCCACCGGGAACGCGAAATGGCGGCTGCCCCTCCGGGGGGGAAACGTCGAAAACTGAAGAAAGTTGGCTCGTAAAAGGGTCGAGTGCTCTTGGATGAAGGGTGGAGGGGTGGAGGAGGGAAATGGAGGAAGAGGGAGAGAACGATTAGTCAGGGGGGGGAGAAAAAGTGTTTCTGGATCTTTGTCGCGCCTATGAACGAAAACTTCTACTTTTCTTATGCCACAGCTAACTCGCCTCTCTTCCTCTCCTCTCCCCTTCTCTTGCTTACTAGTTTCCTTTATTCCGTTCAGAGTCTTCTTCTATTCGTTGCGTAGGTAACCGATCGAATGTCGGAGGAACTGTTCTCTCAGAGGCGTAAAAAAAGAAAGAAAGAAAGAAAGAAAGAAAGAAAGAAAGAAAAAGGGAAAGGATCCAGTTCATTGGCCAATATAAGAGAACGTAAAAAAAGAGCACGGCTCGAGTTTCTTCCGACGGTCACCCTATACGGGAGATCGGTCTGTTAGGCGTTTTAGATTGTACTCGATGCAATGTGCGTGAGAGAGAGGGAGAGAGGGTGCTTAAGAAATGGGCTTATAATCGACTCGAAGAATCTGGTTCTCTTTCCGTTCTACTTTTCGAGTATCGAGGCATAGAAATGAATCGCGTTCCAAACTTATGAAAGATTCGCGCCGCCTCGAGATAATAAATAATACGATATCCAGTAATTTTAATCCCTTTACTTTCCCTTATTATATATCCTCAAAAATTCGTATCGCAACTTCGAAAAAAAAAAAAAATCAAACGAAACAAGATTTGAAAGATTTTTAAACGGGTCAAGATTCATCTCGATAATAAAAATTTAGAATTCGACCCGCCTTCGTCGAATAACATTCATCATCAAGTTTCGATAAAGCAATAAAATATATATATATATATATATATATATCATCATCGATCTTTTCACGAAACTGTATCTGTGGGATGGAAGCTCGTAAAAATTGTTGCAAAAATTTTAACAGAGATAACCCCTGTGTATTGCATTGGCTCTCGGGGATAAAAAAAAAAAAATAAAAAAAATAAAAAACGGTAACGCATCTTCCGTTATAAATGTGCTTTTCGAAAAAAAGGAGGAAGAGAGAGACGGGGGGAGGGGGGGGGGGGAAAGGAGAGTACGGGTGACATTGTTATACCTGGCATGGATGGAGAAAAAAAAGCTGGGGGCCGCTGCTTTCGAAAAATGTTCATTTCGCATGGTTGCGCAAGGGGGGGAGAGAGAGAGAGAGATAGATAGATAGATAGATAGATAGAGAGAGAGAGGCGCCCGCGATTCTGGGTCACTCGACCTCGTGTAATCCCTGTAACAGAGTCCGCCTGTGTGAAACGTGCCTGATCGCGAGATCGGCTCAACCCTTTCGCCCCGATGGAAACCACCTGGCCACCTGCCCGGGATTACGCGCAGTCATTGTTCCGTCCTCGATTTTCCTCCTGGAAGGATGATCGTTAGTGAAAAAATTGTTATTTTTTTTTTTTTTTTTTTTTCCCCCCAAGTTGAATCGAATCGGTTCTTACGATGCTTTCGATAGATAGCATCGTAGTTGTCTTTCGAGATTGCTTTTTCCCGCGATCCGATCGATTTGATAGGGGTTGGAAACGAGGGAATTGGAAGGAATTGAAGTTTGGGGATCGGATTGAATTTCGAAGCGGAAGATATTTGCGGGTTCATCCTCGAACAGGAAATTATTACTCGTTATACTTTGACAGAAGATTGTATTAAAAATTGTTATTACAACGTTTATTATTATTCCCAAAATGTTGCAAGTGATTGTGCTGTTGGAAAAATTATATCTGACCAAATCTTATGATCGAATGAAGATCGTTTCTTTGTGAACCGATCATATAAATCGTCCAAATTATAACTCCAAATCTTCTATACGAATTTACTATAAATTAAGAAAAGTTTGATTTGAATCTTACAATTAAAAAGATCGTGATGAATCAATCATATGCTTTCCCTTTCCACGAATACAATTTATTATAAACTAAGAAAAATGATTTGTCGATTGCAGGTTAAATCTTTAAAATCAATTAATTATTTAACTATATTCTATCGATCCAATCATCCGATCCAATATGATTGCAAAATTTTATTCTTTTAAACTTCTTCATGAATGAATTTACTAATTTAAATATACTAATAAAATAGGAAAAATAGTTTGATTGTCAGTTGTAGGCTGTTTGTTGAACAATGAATCTCTTTCCAAGAATACAATTTACTGTAAATCTTTATGGACCCAATCATGGTATATAAATCATCCAATATGATCACCTTGCACTCACTTTTAAACTTCCTTCCCATTTCAAGTGCTATTTACACAGCACTAAGAGAAGTGGTTTCGGTTGCAGGGTGTTTGTTGGACAATTCGGCGCCGCGGGGCCCGCCCGATGTGCCTCCGCGTAATCCTACAATGAGTCGCGTCAACGGAAGATTGCCAGGAAGTCACGCAGCCAGCGACCACGAGCGTGATCCCGACCTCCAGCCATCCTGCCTCGTACGCACCTCATCCGGCGGCTTTTACAGTATACCAAGTGAGTGTCTAAGGGTTGTGTGTCCGTCCAGTGATTGCTCGGTGGTGGAAAAAACGGTGCTCGAAAGATATTCCTATCTCGAAAATTCTTGACCATTCGTGCGTATTTAATTCTGCTCGAACGCGTAAAAGTATTAATTGAATAATTAGACAGATTTGGAGATCGGTAATCAATTCAAGTGATTGGTAAAAGCAGTGGATTATTAGATTCTATATACTTTCTAGAGAAAGTATATAGTGAATTTCATTGATTGGCTTCTGGATCTTTCAACTATCGCATTGAAATTAAACTCGAGGAAGATCGTCAGCGTCTGCGATATTTTTTTTTTTTTTTTTTTT